GTGCAAGAATAGGATATTTCTGCGATGGATCGCAAAAAGAAAACGAAGAAAATTATATTCCAGAATTAAAAAGATGTGGACTATATGAAAAGCTTCAAAATGCATTAAAATATATAAGTTGGAATGCCAAAAGTTTATTACAAAATAAAGACAGTAATAGAGTAGAAACTTTTAACTCTGTAATAGCAAAATGTACTGGTGGAAAAAGAGTTAATTATGGTCTAAGAGGATCGTATGAAACGCGTTGTAATGCTGCAGCAGTCACATTTAACACTGGCAAGCCTATAAGTCGATTAAGTAATGTTCTGGGAACAAAACCAGGGGAAATAGCAGTGCATTTTGAAGAAAAGAAAAAAACAAGTACACATTATATGAAAAAACGATCAACACCGCAACGTTACGTAAAACGTGCAATAAGTGACAAAGATTATGGGCCGCAGGCTGATAAACCTGATGCAACATCAGCCGAAATTGAATTAAGAAAAGCGCAACACATGCATATGCTACGAGATTGGCAATTAAAGCGAGTAGCAATAGAAGAAGAAACTAAAGAACAAGCAGCAAGCGGCATTTGGCGATATTATCGCACAAAAATAATAACCGCTTCTCACTTTGGACATATATGTAAAATGAGAAAAAGTACTTCTTGCGTGTCAAGAGTTCAATCAATAATATATCCACAACAATTAAATGTGGAATCAGTGGAACACGGAACAAAATACGAAGATATTGCACGCAAAAGTATCGAAAGTGCACTGAATATTAACATTAAACGTTGCGGATTATTTAGAGATAAAGAAATACCATTTTTAGGCGCTTTGCCAGATGGATTAATAGGAGATAATGGAATTGTAGAAATAAAATGTCCTTTTGCAGCACGATTTTTAACACCAGAAGATGCGATTGCAGCAAATATGTCGAATCTGCAATCGTTATACAAGAATGCAACAGATAAAGAAATGAAACGCAGTCACGTTTACTATTATCAAATACAAGGACAATTACATATTACACAACGAGAATACTGCATCTTCGCATTATGGACACCATTTGGATTAAAAATGGAACAAATTAAACGTGATGATATTTTCTGGTCAGAAAATATGGTTAATAAACTGGCGCAATTTTATGAAGATTGTGTTTTACCAGAATTACTTGATCCAAGACTGGAAAGAAATATGGCAATTCGAGACCCAGATTATATAATTGAAGCAAAAAGACAAAAAATTATGGAAAAAGAAAAGATGAATAAATAGATTTACGTGGAAAAATTGAAAAAAAGACACATACACAGATAAGAATTGCATTAGAAAAAGGAATAAATATATGACAATGCATTCTGCGCTGGGCGCAGTGATTACCATTTAAATAATGCATTCTGCGCTAGGCGCAGTGATTACTGTCAAAATAATGCATTCTGCGCTGGGCGCAGTGATTACTGTCAAAATAATGCATTCTGCGCTACGCGCAGTGATTACCATCAAAATAATGCATTCTGCGCTGGGCGCAGTGAGTATCAATATCAAAATGCATTCTGCGCTGGGCGCAGTTAATCATAGACAAATGAAATATATGTGCAATTCTGCTTATGTACTTGCATTCTGCGTTGAGCGCAGTGAAAATCTAAAATTAAAAAATATATAATAAATCGTGCTAATTACCCATATATACATATGGGTGCATTTATATCTTGCCGTTAGAGTTGCAATTATCAATTCTCTAATGGGTAGATATGATTGCAATCCGTATGTACAATAGGTCTACTATCCAGTAGGATTCGGTTTCCGTCTTTCCAATGTTTTTCGTTTTTTTAAATTATATTTTTTATGTAAATTTACAAATATTTATTTCTCTAAAAACTAATGAATTTATTTGTAGATAAATAAACATTTGTGGTAAGATGTAAGATTGTCGAAAATACTACAATTTTCGTATTATATGTCATCTTACTATAAAAAATTATATTTTTTTATTGCACATTTTTTGAAAGTAATTGTGAGATATTTATGATTAAAATGACACCAAACACGACATAAATCAGATTATTTTTAATTACATAAATAATTAATTTTTTGATTATTGATTAATTAAAAATCATCCGATTTATGTCGTGTTTGATGTCATTGTAATCAGAAAATTCTCATTAATCCATTAAAATTATTTTCAAACCGATAAAATGCAAAATAAAAGTTTCAATTTTTATTTTCTGAAATGTTTATATTATAGATAAGATAAGATCTTCGCGAGACTGGGGAGTTGTCGAAAGTGAGGGAGAGACCAAGTAAGGAGTGAGCGAGATGAACAACATGAAAGAGTTCCGAAGTCTCACTCGCGAGCCTTCCTTTATCTCCAGTCTTTCGTATTATATTTCATCTTCAGAAAATACAATTTTTACATTTCGCATTTTATTGATCCGAAAATAATTGTAATGGAGTAATGAGATTTTTACGATTAAAATGACACCAAACACGACATAAATCGGATTATTTTTAATTACATAAATAATAAAAATATTAATGTAATTAAAAATTCTCCGATTCATATTGTATTTGGTATCATTTTAATCGCAAAAGTCATTAAAATTATTTTCCAACTTGCAATAAAATGCGCAATAAAAAAATTTATTTTTTATAACAAGATGACATATAATATGAAAATTGTAGTATTATATAACATATATAATTATTATTAATTACATATATATTATTATTATATATATAATATAAGATATATAATATTATATTTATTATTAGCTTCGATGCTCACGTATATATATATATATATATGTATATATATATATATATATATATATATATGTCAATTGGCTATTTTGACGACATTAAAAAATCAAACATTTTATTGTATACATAAGAGTACATCGACTCCCTGACCTATACATTATTTATAATTTTATGATAAAATGCACTAGTACATATGTATAAGCAATTAAGTATAGATCGGTTAGTACAGCGACAGTACAAAATTATGTATAACACATTATACTATTTGGCTATTATAACGACATCACAAATTTTTATAAAACGGTTGTTTTAACAACACTTCAAAAATAAGTTAAAAAATCCTTTTGATTAGTAATCATTTATCAAATAAGCAAGCAATTAGGAAAATATTTACATTCTTGTAAACCCGAGAGATTTATTCAAGAAAATTATTTATTTATTTTAATTAAAATTATCAGAATAAAAAATTAAGTATAGATCGATTAATACAGCGACAATACAAAATTATGTACAGTACATTATACTATTTGGCTATTGGATCGCTCATCGCGCATCGTTTATTGCGTCCAGTATGAGAGCGCCATAATGAGTAACTATTGGCGTTTTCGAATAGTCGGGTTCGATCCGACCCGGGGTAGTTTATTAGACGTCATTGACCAATCACAACCATTCTTTTGAAGAATGGCTATGATTGGTCAATGACGTCTAGTAAATTACCCCGGGTCGGGTCAAACCCGACAATTCGAAAATGCCATATATATACATATACGTTGTTAACTGCCTTCGTCCTTTTGTCCAGGCTTAATCAGCCATGAGATACGAGTTGTGTGCAATAGAAATATGTTAATTTGTATGAGTATATTTAGTATTATAGTATTTATTCTATTACTAAATACATATTATACGACAATATAAAAATTTAATATAATAAATATGTACACGTTAGTAAAGTTCTATGATGATATTTATTATGTGTGCAAATCTAGTCAAATTAAGATTAAAAAAAATGTTGCAAAAGCTATATATAGTGATAAACGAAGTTATCCAGCAACTATTTTAGCGAAAAATGGTAAGTTGAATATATGTTTTACATCAATTTTCATATTATTATTATTGCATGTAATTAACATTTATATTACATTACAAATATATATACATAAATCCAAGAATGAATAATAAACAATAACGATGCGGTCGTTCACGATATAATGAAATTATAGAACGTAGAAATATATCTACAAATGAGACAAGAAATTGAGAATACATTAAAATGTATTCTTATTTCATTAAAATATATTCTCAATTTCTCATTTCATTAACAGACATTTCTTTAACATTACAGATAATAAAGATATATTGGAAGACATTACAAAAAATATTATAACAAATAAGCCACATATATTATGCAAAAGAACTGATTTCCCAAAATTTTGTGGTAAGTTTAATTCATATCGATGATATTTGTAATACTTATTTTATCATATGTATGCGATAATCATGTATTTCTTCTCTCACAGATATTAATTCTATAAGACTTATTGATAAAAACAAAGACAATGAATCTGTGATACTAAACAAGGAGTACAACACTAAAAAGATTGATGTTTCATTAAATATTGGTGAATCTCACATGATAATGTCTATGGATGAAAGCAATAAAAATAATGAATCTGTGCCAAACAAAGATTGTAATGAGGAGATGACCGATGTTACATCAATTACTGGTAAATGTGCATATTTCCAATTATTTAGGTTAGCTCATATCGATGATGTTTGTAATATTTATTTTATCATATGTATGCGATAATCATGTATTTCTACTCTCACAGATATTAATTCTATAAGACTTATTGATAAAAACAAAGACAATGAATCTGTGATACTAAACAAGGAGTACAACACTAAAAAGATTGATGTTTCATTAAATATTGGTGAATCTCACATGATAATGTCTATGAATGAAAGCAATAAAAATAATGAATCTGTGCCAAACAAAGATTGTAATGAGGAGATGACCGATGTTACATCAATTACTGGTAAATGTGCATATTTCCAATTATTTAGGTTAGCTCATATCGATGATGTTTGTAATATTTATTTTATCATATGTATGCGATAATCATGTATTTCTTCTCTCACAGATATTAATTCTATAAGACTTATTGATAAAAACAAAGACAATGAATCTGTGATACTAAACAAGGAGTAAACACTAAAAAGATTGATGTTTCATTAAATATTGGTGAATCTCACATGATAATGTCTATGAATGAAAGCAATAAAAATAATGAATCTGTGCCAAACAAAGATTGTAATGAGGAGATGACCGATGTTACATCAATTACTGGTAAATGTGCATATTTCCAATTATTTAGGTTAGCTCATATCGATGATGTTTGTAATATTTATTTTATCATATGTATGCGATAATCATGTATTTCTACTCTCACAGATATTAATTCTATAAGACTTATTGATAAAAACAAAGACAATGAATCTGTGATACTAAACAAGGAGTACAACACTAAAAAGATTGATGTTTCATTAAATATTGGTGAATCTCACATGATAATGTCTATGGATGAAAGCAATAAAAATAATGAATCTGTGCCAAACAAAGATTGTAATGAGGAGATGACCGATGTTACATCAATTACTGGTAAATGTGCATATTTCCAATTATTTAGGTTAGCTCATATCGATGGTGTTTGTAATATTTATTTTATCATATGTATGCGATAATCATGTATTTCTACTCTCACAGATATTAATTCTATAAGACTTATTGATAAAAACAAAGACAATGAATCTGTGATACTAAACAAGGAGTACAACACTAAAAAGATTGATGTTTCATTAAATATTGGTGAATCTCACATGATAATGTCTATGAATGAAAGCAATAAAAATAATGAATCTGTGCCAAACAAAGATTGTAATGAGGAGATGACCGATGTTACATCAATTACTGGTAAATGTGCATATTTCCAATTATTTAGGTTAGCTCATATCGATGATGTTTGTAATATTTATTTTATCATATGTATGCGATAATCATGTATTTCTTCTCTCACAGATATTAATTCTATAAGACTTATTGATAAAAACAAAGACAATGAATCTGTGATACTAAACAAGGAGTACAACACTAAAAAGATTGATGTTTCATTAAATATTGGTGAATCTCACATGATAATGTCTATGATGAAAGCAATAAAAATAATGAATCTGTGCCAAACAAAGATTGTAATGAGGAGATGACCGATGTTACATCAATTACTGGTAAATGTGCATATTTCCAATTATTTAGGTTAGCTCATATCGATGATGTTTGTAATATTTATTTTATCATATGTATGCGATAATCATGTATTTCTACTCTCACAGATATTAATTCTATAAGACTTATTGATAAAAACAAAGACAATGAATCTGTGATACTAAACAAGGAGTACAACACTAAAAAGATTGATGTTTCATTAAATATTGGTGAATCTCACATGATAATGTCTATGGATGAAAGCAATAAAAATAATGAATCTGTGCCAAACAAAGATTGTAATGAGGAGATGACCGATGTTACATCAATTACTGGTAAATGTGCATATTTCCAATTATTTAGGTTAGCTCATATCGATGGTGTTTGTAATATTTATTTTATCATATGTATGCGATAATCATGTATTTCTTCTCTCACAGATATTAATTCTATAAGACTTATTGATAAAAACAAAGACAATGAATCTGTGATACTAAACAAGGAGTATAACACTAAAAAGATTGATGTTTCATTAAATATTAGTGAATCTTACATGATAATGTCTATGGATGAAAGCAATAAAAATAATGAATCTGTGTCAAACAAAGATTGTAATGAGGAGATGACCAATGTTACATCAAATACTGGTAAATGTGCACATTTCCAATTACTTAGAAACTGACACAAATGTCTTTATCTTTAATTACTGGTTACTTTTATAGTTAATAATATCTTTTTATTTAATTATTATTTGATTTTTGTTTTTTAATAATAATATCTTTTAATAATAATTTATAAATAATAATGCATCTTTTAATTAATTTTGTGTTTTTTAAAAATAGTCAAATGTACATTGTATCTATTGTATATGTATGTATTTTGCATGTTAAGACTATTTATTATTCACAGGAGTAACAATGTTGTATTTGTTTTTTATGTTTTGATATTCCCTATGTATTATATAAATGCAACTTTTTAATAATATTAAAACATTGTATACAAAATAATGATTTTTATATTATTTTTTAAATTAGTCATTTCTTCAAATCTGTAATAGTCACATTAATGAATCTCTAAAATACATAATTTTAGAAATAGTCATTATATATAAAGTTAGAAAGCGAGTTGAAGTATTTTCGTCTGTTTCTGCTTATGCAATTTTTTTACATCTATTATATGTTCTATGTACTAGATTAAAATGCATACTTTTTCTTTATTATTTTAGGTTGTCACCAAAAACCGACGCTTTTAAATGGTGAGAATGAAATATATGACAAAAGAGAAGAAGAAATTACCATGATTATTGATGACAGTGTTTATCAAGAGGGTACAGATCTCCCAGTAAATTTTGATAAATTTAGATAATGTTATCAATTATATTCCTAAGTGCTATTTTATCTGTATGATATATTTTTTCATATATATTGTTTCAGATATTGGCACAATAATCTTTACAGATGAAAATGAGAAGATCATTAAAACTGTCATGCCAAATAACTTTTTCATGAATAATAATATTGAAGCAGCCGACGCAAATGAAATAGCAGACGCAAATATTTTTTTATCTGGTATGCAATATTGTTAAAATTAAATTTCAAATATTAAGTTTCATATTTTACACTTTAAATGATATGCAACGTGTTTTATTGCATTGTTGAATAAACGTATTTATCTCCCTGTTTGTCTAATCTTATGTTTTGTTTGCAGATTCACTTAATGGATCTGTTATAATCAATGAGGAGTGTGTTAGGAGATTAAGTTTTAACACGACTGGTATGTAAAAATTGAATTATTTTTATATAAATGAGTATAAACTCATAAATAAATATAAATATACACAAAATATAAAAAAAAGAAATGCAATAAAATTTATATATATGTATGTACATAAGCATGTCACGAAAGTAATAGACAGCCACTTAAATTAAAATATAAACATTAATGTTTGTGTATATTTATATTTTTTAGGGACAAAAGATTGTATTTTCAGTTATATAATTTTAGAGAAAACAGATATTTTCAGTTATATAAATTTAGAGAAAACAGATTTTATAGTTTCAAATATCCATAAGAAATGATGAAATTTTAGACAGGGAGTTGTGTCCTTCGTTCATAGTTATATAATCTCTTTGTTTTTCTTTGATACTAGATAATGATAACGACAAAAGTAATGATGAAGGTTCAGAATATATACATTCAGAACACAGTTCTTTACATAGTGAATCTCCTGAAAACCAAATGCCAATTGTTAATAGAACTGTTTCATCCACTTCCAGTTTTGATACATCAAATACAAATGTTGTTGGTACATCAGCATGTAACGATGAAGTTATGTGTGTTCAAAAGTCAAATATAAAATCGAAACAAAACTATTGTGTTTTTTGTATGAAGTTGCAATCACAGCTTGCACGACATTTGGAAACAGTACATCTTAACGAGCCTGATGTAAAAAAATTTGCCATTCTGCCTAAAAAAAACCCGGAAAGGAAGAAAATAATAGATACTATTAGAAAAATGGGTAATTTTAAATTTAACACCAACTCAGAATTTAATACTGGGCAATTAATTGTATGCAGACGTCCGAATGAGAAAACTAATAAGACTGCTAAAGATTTTGTTGCCTGTGTAAAATGTAAAGGATTTTTCGCAAAAAGCACAATACGTCATCATGCTCGAGTTTGTCTTAACAAAGATTTTCGAAAAAATAAAAATATTATGATTATGGGAAGAAAAATCACTGGTAGAATACATTCAATAGCAAGTGAGTGTTTAAGAAAAACAGTGTTTCCTGTTCTGCGAGAGGATGACGTAACACGTATTGTGAGATATGACAAATTATTGATAATATATGCAAATAAGTTGTGTGTTAAATACATATCCCAACATCAGCATGATATGATTCGTGCACGATTGCGTCTACTAGGCCGTTTTCTTATAGCATTAAAAGAGATAAATACGAATGTAGAAGATTTTCAGTCGCTGTATCATCCACAAATATATGACGACTGTATTTCAGCAATTAATGTAGTTGCAGGATATGACAATGAAGAACAACTTTATAAAACTCCTGCAGTAGCAGCTAACTTGTCAACACTTATTAAGCATATAGGAAATCTTCTCATTATGGAATGCATCAAGGCTCAAGATGAAGAGAAAAAAAAATTAGTTAAAGACTTTTTAAAGCTGTTAGTTGTGGATATAGGTACGAGTGTTAACAAAACAGTCCTCGAAACCCAGTCCGCACATAAAAGACACAAGAAAATAAATCTCCCGTCATTAGAAGATATTAAAAAATTATACACACATTTGGCGAAAATTAGAACTGAAGCATATGCAGCATTAAATGAGTCCTTTTCATATGAGAAGTGGATTTCCTTAGCAGAAGTAACATTAACTTCAACACATGTCTTTAATAGACGACGAGCAGGAGAAATTGAGCGAGCCTTGATAGAAGATTTTGAAAATTATGAAAAAGTAAATAAAAATATGTACAGTGATATTTATAAATCATTATCGATGGAAGATAGAAAAATAGCAGAGAAATATGTTCGATTTTGCATCAGAGGAAAACTGGGACGCACAGTACCTGTTTTATTAACAAATGAGCTCTTTGATTGCATCACTTTAATCTTGAAATATCGTGAAAAGGCTAATGTACCAAAGAAAAACCCTTATATTTTTGGACTACCTGCTGTCGACAAAAATAGACACCGATACCTGAGAGCCTGTGTTTTAATGCGTACATTTGCAGAACAATGTAACGCAAATCAATCAACTACTTTGCGTGGTACAACATTAAGAAAACATGTAGCAACACACTGCATTCAATTTAATCTGAATGATACTGATGTTTCGGATCTTGCCACATTTATGGGTCATGCTGATAAAATACACAGAGATCATTACAGACAACCAATAGCAAGCAGAGATATACTGAAAATCTCCCGCTATTTAGAAGCAGTATCAGAAGGAAATACACAAAATATAAATGATGAATCGATGTCGGACAGTGATTTTGAAATAGAAGATAACTTAGTTGAAGTTAATAATAATAATACTGATGAAACAAGTAATGTTATTTGCTTAAATCATTATGTAAGACGTAGAATTTATAACACTAATATTTACATTATTTACATTTTTAATTGGTTTTATGTTGGTTTGATGCTTATTTATTTCATACTTAAATATTCTTTTTGTATATTATTTTGATATCGTAATATCATGATAATAAAACAAGAGCATTCTGATATTATGATATTGCAATTTCGTAAATGTTTTAATAACTACTGTTTATTGTAGATATTTCATTGTGTGAGATACTAAAGCATTCCAAAAATTCTGACAAGCAAACGGATAAACAAGGTGGAAAACGGAAACGTAGTAGTAAGTAATTTTTCATGTCTGCTTTCAATCCATAACTGTATTACAATAACGAATTACAATAAAATTCAGTTTCTTTTATTAATTATGTTAATTCGTTCTTAAACATGATACTCATTTATATATTTTTAATATAACTCCTAACATTACATATTTGATTAGTGCCTGCAAGTAATTATCTTTTGTCGTTCCTTTTTTATTTTTACCGAAATACATAACTTATTGTTAGTTTTGTTTACATAACCTATAACATTTTCCAATATTTATACTAAAACTATTTATAATTGCGATTCAAAATGAAAAGTAAATAAGTAAAATAAAATAGCATTACTATTTAAATAAACTTATTATCGTTGAATATGGAATATAAGAATGTATGATCATAGCAATCAACATATTCTCATGTCAAAGTCGAGAACAAATAGTATAGTTATTTCGTATTTGTTAAATTATTTCAATAATATTCTCTATGCTCCTCTAGCATCTCCTTATGGAAAAACAAAAAGGGTACGATGGACAGAAGATGAGAAAAAAACAGCGCTTTCTGCGTTTGCACAACATATGGAAAATTATACATTGCCGTCTCTAAAAGAGATTCAAGAAGTAAAGAAAAAATATATTTCTCTGGCTCGTCGTACATCGCCGCAAATCAAAACGTGGCTGCATAATAAACTGAAAACCCTGCGACAACAATAGTGTAAGAGTTTGCAATTTTGTACAAAACATTTTATTAATGCTTGTAAAGAAATTCTGATTTCTTTTTTAAAACAATATAAAACGTTTTCATATCATTTAAAGCTTAAATTTTTAAATTAAAATTTATATAATTTAATACTTTATATAATATATATATATATATATATATATATATAACTTTAAATTAATTTCATATGTACTATATACAGTATAACTCTGATTCAATATCTTTTTTTTTTGCTTTTGTACATTTGTATATTGAGATATGTTAATATATAAATGTTGTGTGCGTTAGTTCGTCAACGTTATAGATGTTCATAAATAAATTTTATTCTATCTTTTGGTTTCAGTTTCACTGCCTCATTCTAGGAGGACATTGTGAAAGCGTTCAACTCAAGATTAAAGTTGAATACACCTAGATCATCGGATACACTAAATATATTTTATAAAATCAGGGAACCTGAATACTATTATGCCTAGCGATAAGAAGTGGAGAATGCTTGACGGAACAGATTCAGTACAAGATGGAATTTATAAAGTGATATGTTCCAGAAGATGTCCAGCTGTATCTTATTAGACATTGCATAGGTGCTTGACTGAATCATGATATTGACAAAAGAATAATAGATTACTTCTGTTCTTTCCTACAACAAAGGCAGAAACAGTAAAGCAATTTTCTCAGCGATGTTTCTATCATCTCTGCAAACATTATTAATATAAGTTTTTGATATATTTTGATCTTTTCAAGTAAATTTGTCAAGCCAATGTATGAAATGCAGTGACAAAAATAATGAATTTAAAAACTTTATGTAGTTAAATCAATTTTAGTATAGAAAAAATGTATGAAATGGTAGCAAACTGAGAGTAATTAAACCTGACAAACTTTTATTTTATTATAATGTTAACAGTAGCAGGATTCCAAGACAAATGTATATCAGACACTTCAATCTAAATGTTAAATTATGTCAATGCGATTTTCACATGTTTTTGTGCTAAAAAATAATATATAGGGTACTCGTCGGCGATTTCATCAACTAAATTTCAAGATATCAATTTTGCATTTAATTTATTAATGGTGCAGTTCTTTGTTGCATATTAAAGTAGCATTTTTTATAGCAAATAAATAGGACACACTTTTTCATTTTACTGATTGGAACAAAGTTTTGTTATTGCTGTGTTTTGATGGATAGAATACAAAAGCGATAATTTTCAATATCTTTACAAAACATTATAAAAATAATTACAATAAACGGGTTAGCAGATAAACAACTAATTATAATGATATCTTGAATTAATTATAATTTGATTATTATATGTTAGTATGGTGCAATATCTCTTATGTTATATTAATTAATTAAGCACATATTATTTATTATTTGTATTATCGCTAAAAATTTAAAGATTTAAGTTTAACTTTGAGGATGTTGCGAATTTAGTCAAAGTAAACATGATTGATGTGTCAAGGTTCTATTATTTTTGCTGAAGTCAAGAATATTAAATTTCTTTATTTATAACTAAGAAAAAGATATCAAATTTTATATTGTAAAAATGAATAAGTAATTACTTGAAATAAGTTCTATATGCATTGTAAGCAATGATTTTAATTATCATTTTCTCTCGTTTTACTATATATTTATCACATTTATTTGTTTCTTTTTTATTTCTTTGTATGATTAGAGGTATTACAAACACATTAGTGTTTTCAGATTATTATAATCGAACACAAAATTTTATATTACACTATATTAATACGTTATAATTAAGAATTTTATGTATTTCTGTAGGCCACCGCACAAGCTTTTTCGTAACGCGTATACGTTACGTTAAGTACTGACCTTAGACTTTACTCAATACATAACCTCAAACTTTAGTCAAAGCACAAAAAATCGTTATGTTAAATTATGTTACGTTCTGGTCTTACCATTACGATTATTTTTGTGTGCTGATTAAAGTTTAAGATTATGTACAATACAAGTTAAATCTAAAATCATTACTTAATTTAACGTAACGTGTTACGGAAAAGATTGTGTGGTAACCCTTTCTCTTCAACACGATAACTTTGTCATTTTAATGTATACAATATACACGTTCCTTTTTTTAAACTAATGGGAATTGTGAATACTTCAATCTTGTTCACATATTCCTTATCTATGTAGAATTTTTATGAAAAAAAATATTCAGGAAAACAAAAAATGTTTATATATTATTATCATATATCACATATTATCAAATGCTACATGAATAAACAACCTGTACAACCAAAGACATAATTATATACATAACATTCAGTTTCATTACTGTTATTTACATATTTTTTATTTCATGTATATACTACGAAATACATATGAGATTTTCATATAAAATCTGTTATACTTATATACCACATATTGTTCTGTCTCCTCCGCATCATTTTAAGTAAAAATTACAATAATTAAATGATTATAATAATTAATACAGACTATGTATATATATCAAAGAAAAATGCAGACGCAGAAATCTTTTTAACAACTTCGAATTACAGATGTCAATTTCAACATTACAGCAGTACATAACTAATCTCGCTATTTTTGTGCGTTAATATATTTATGTTTATATGAAAAACAAAAATAAATATTTTATACATCTACACTTGTCACCTATTGACTCCAGTTCAAGAAAACAAAATTAATAATTCAATATTTCTATAAACATTTATAGCATTCAAAAACAGGGTTTATAAAGAAGACGATCGGTATCGCATCCTTGTTAACGCATGACAACGAATTATCAAACTTGAAAATAACTACGAAAAGACTATAAAAAATCGTCCGTCGTTTCACCTGATTTAACTTATTTTTGCATCAGCTGATTTTGCGTATTATACGTGAAACACAACTTTAATTTACTTTATTCACGTCACGCAATTTATAGATTTTCTGTCGCTACATACGCATCATCCATTAACCAGAAAATATCATATGATTGAATTATATGTACATATTTCTCTCTCCGTTTCTCTTTTTCGTTCCCTCACTCTCTCTTTCTTTCTTTGACGCGCACCCCGAATTGTGATAGATGTCATGTTAAATTAGGCAGCGTTTATGTTAAATTACACGTTAAAGTTGAAATAAATACGTCGGCAAGTTGCAAACGATAAAGAACTTGACGCAGTTTATAAAACAATTTAGAAGCATATAAATCGTGCACGAACATATTCGTCGTTATCTCCTTAATAAATCTGGAGTGAAATTGATAATGTTGTATATATGCAGGGTGTCCCACACGCAACACATGACACCATTATTTTCGCGTTATTTTCCTATTGCCGAAAAAAAAATGTGATTATATTTTTCGGCGCGGTATCATATGTCGCGCCTCTCCTCCCTCGGCACTCGAAGCGTGCGGTTTACCGCTTCTCATGCGCCGCGATAAATAGTACCGCGCCGAAAAGTATTTGTCGTATTGTTTGCAACTTGCCCACGTATTCATTTAAATTTTAACGTGTAATTTAACATAAACGCTGCCTAATTTAACATGACATCTATCACAATTCGGGATGCGCATCAAAGAAGGAGAGAGAGAGAGAGAGAGAGAGAGAGGGAGCGAAATAGAGAAACGGAGAGAGATATATGTACATATAATTCAATATGATACATTCTGGTTCATGGATGATGCGTATGAAGCGAAAGACAGAAAATCTATAAATTGCGTGACGTGAATAATAGATTTTTTCTGACTTCATACGCATTATACCTTAATCAGAAAGTATCACGATTAAACTTTTATACATGTATCTCTCTCCATATCTCTATTTTGCTCTCTATTCCCCCCCCCCCATCACTCTCTCTCTCTCTCTCTCTCCCTTTTCACGCGCACACTGAATTCTAATAGATTTCATGTTGAATTAAGCAGTATTAATGTTAAACCACATATTAAGTTGAAATGAATACGTCGGTAAGTTTGCAAATGAGAAAGGGCTGCACGCTGTTTATAAAAAAATTTAAAAGCATATAAATTGTGCACGAGCGTATTCGTTGTTATCTCCTTAATAAATCTGGAACGGAATTGATAATGTACAATGTTGTATATATGCAGGGTGTCTCACACGCAACACACGACATCATTATTTTCGCGTTATTTTCCTAACGCCTAAAAAGCAACGTGATAATATTTTTCGGCGCGGTATCATATGTCGCGCCTCAGCTCCCCTCGCCGCTCGAAGCGTGCGGCCTACTGCTTCTCATGCGCCGCGATAAATAGTACCGCGCCAAAAAGTATTTGTCACTTTGCTTCTTCGGCAATAGGAAAATGACGCGAAAATGATGATAATGCCGCGTGTCGCGTGTGGAACATTCTGCGTATATATACAACATTGTATTATTAGAGAGAACGACAAATATATACTTATGCACGCACGATTTATACCACTAAATTGTTTTATAAACAGCGTGAAGTCCTCTATCGTTTGCAACTTGCCGACGTATTCATTACAACTTTAATGTGTAATTTAACATAAACGCTGCCTATTTTAACATGACATCTATCACAATTCGAGGTGCGCGTCAAAGAAGGAGAGAGAGAGGGAGCGAAATAGAGAAACGTATAGAAATATATGTACATATAATTCAATCATATGATACTTTCTGGTTTATGGATGATGCGTATGAAGCGACAGAAAATCTGTAACTTGCGTGACGTGAAAAATAGATTTTTTCTTGTTTCATACGCATTATACTAATCAGAAAGTATCACGATTATATTTATATACATATATCTCTCTCCGTATATCTATTTCGCTCTCTCCCCCCCCCCATCAATCTCTCTCTCTCTCTCTCTCCTCTCTCTCTCTCTCTCTCTCTCTCTTTTCACGCGCACACTAAATTGTGATAAATTTCATGTCGAATTAAGCAGTATTAATGTTAAACAACATGTTAAGTTGAAATGAATACGTCGGCAAGTTTGCAAATGATAAAGAGCTGCACGCTGTTTATAAAACAATTTAGAAGCATATAAATCGTGCATGAGCGTATTCTTGAATCGTTATCTCCTTAATAAATCTAGAGTTGAATTTGTAAATGTACAATGTTGTATATATGCAGGGTGTCCCACACGCAACACACGACACCATCATTTTCGCATTATTTTCCTATCGCCGAAAAAGTAACGTGATTATATTTTTCAGCGCGGTATCATATGTCGCGCCTCTCCTTCCTCGGCACTCGAAGCGTGCGGTTTACCGCTTCTCATGCGCCGCGATAAATAGTACCGCCCCGAAAAGTATTTGTCACTTTGCTTCTTCGGCAATAGGAAAATGACGCGAAAATGATGATAATGCCGCATGTCGCGTGTGGAACATTCTGCGTATATATACAACATTGTATTATTAGAGAGAACGACAAATATATACTTATGCACGCACGATTTATACCACTAAATTGTTTTATAAACAGCGTGAAGTCCTCTATCGTTTGCAACTTGCCGACGTATTCATTACAACTTTAATGTGTAATTTAACATAAACGCTGCCTATTTTAACATGACATCTATCACAATTCGAGGTGCGCGTCAAAGAAGGAGAGAGAGAGGGAGCGAAATAGAGAAACGTATAGAAATATATGTACATATAATTCAATCATATGATACTTTCTGGTTTATGGATGATGCGTATGAAGCGACAGAAAATCTGTAACTTGCGTGACGTGAAAAATAGATTTTTTCTTGTTTCATACGCATTATAC